ATCATGCATCGTCAAACGAAAAGGCCACCCACAAGACAAGTTTATATAGTGTCCACCATAGCCAACAAGTAATTTCCATTATTTCCCACTACTCGTCACAATCATATACAAAAAGGCATATTGAAGAATTTCCAGCTTTTTCAGTAACCTACCTATAGGTCATTATTGGAATAACATGTCCATGCAGAAGCAGTATACAAACTAGTGTTCTTCCATCCAAGTTTGAGTGTGCCATCAATGAGCAAGCGTATAGCCATGGCCATGAGAAGCTGAGAACATGTTCAATATCAGTTGAGCTTGAGCCATAGAATTAGGGCTCATCGGAACCTGCACAAAACAATGCCTCGCAAGCTCACTTCTCCATTGTCTATGCTTGTCTTCTCCACTTCTTGCTGGTCCTCCTATGGCCAATATGTTATTTATCTCTTTAGACAGAAGGTCGTGTTCGACCCTGTGCCTGTTAGGATCCTCACTGGCCATATAAGCTCCAAGAGAATCGAACACAGTAGAGTAATAGTGTAAAGACCCAACAAAACGATCCAAGAACGACCCGCCGCTTGAAATATCTTGTTCCACCAGGGTTATGATTCTTGGCTCTAATTCTTCAAGAAGCCTCAGGGTTTTCCAGTCTGGTCCTGTTGCGTCGTACAGTGAGTGTTGTAGCCAGTGAATGGCCAGTTTCTCGCGGGTCTTACTTGCACCATGGAGACATCCTCGATTTCCCCGAACTTTTTCGCGATTGGTTGGAAATGAAACGACATTCCAAGCCTTTTAGCGAAGTTCGTGAGTTGTTTGCCTGTCTCAACGAGGAGGTCCATCGAAGCTCCCATGCCTGTCATTCGAACTCGTGGTCGGCCCTCCATTCGCGTGGGCGAGGATGTGGAAGAAGGCTGGCCATTGAAGACCCTGCATAATGTCTAAGTCTATAATATGAATATTATCACAGCAATGCACTGCTTCGAGAATTGCTTGATTTGAAGTGAAATGAGCGAATTTGATGAAAGGCGAAACGTTGTTGAACACTTGGAATGAAGAGTGAATGCTCCTATGATCAATCAGAGGGGAAAATACTCCGAGCATCGAGTTCATTACTCTGCTAGACATGGCTTTAGCAAAGTAGGCAACAATACGCTCTGCACAGGACGGCTTGTAAGGTGAGACCACTTGGGTAAGCTCAAGCAACACCCTGTGTGCTTCACTGAGGTTATCCACTGAGATCGCTACTGCACACTCCATTAGAAGTGTTAAAAGGTGCAACCCACCATCATTGTTTTGGTCGTGATGATCTACTGGATTTGTTTGAATTTGAATTTGCAGGTCGTTGTTGATGAAGGGACCTTTTCTAGGGTACGTAACAGGTGAAACTACTGTGCCTACGAGGTTGTCCTGAGAATACGACCTTGTTTGGTGATGGTTATTATAAGGAAGAAAGTTATGATCAGATGTGTGGTTTCAGCTGGCAAGTCGTCCACAAGGTGTTTGGTAATATGCTCCACCCAATCTGAAAACTCGTTTGTTGCCAAGTTTACAGTATTGTGAGTGGTAGTGTCAATGGGTGGTGGCTTTGAAAATTGGATCGATGATGATGTTGCAGCTGATGAAGACAGCCCAACATTATTCGGGTAGTCCCAAGATTCATGCATATGATGTGGTCTGATCATGTTGAAATCGCCATGAATCACCTCAAATCCCGCTTTCATCACAGAGGTTCATCGATCAAAAGAAAGAAAGAAAGAGAGAAAGGAAGAGAGAGGGTTTAGCGCAGAGGAAGATGTTACTTATATAAAGGAAGAAGGCGATGATGACTTAAAATTAAAAAATACTACTTTCAGTCCTAATAAGATCTTGTTTGCAGTATACAAACGAGGTCCTATAAATAGAACAGGAAGTAGTAAAATAAAATCTGGGGATTTTGAGCTCAAGGGAAGAAGGCCGGCATAGTCAAGACATCTGGAAAAAGATGAGGAACTAGGAGCTAAGTATTACATGTTGGTTTAATAGTGATTTATGATATAAATAATTGTTAATGAATGATTTTTCAAGTGTACGTTCGTCACATGAACATCAAGTTTTGAGGGGTGATACAAAACTTGTGTTTATTATAAGAAGAGGGACTTTTTTGTCTTGTCTTGACTATATATGGCGATGGGGAAGGAGCAACTACCACTATATCATAATATAATAATGATAATTAATAGTATGATGCCAATAATTAAAAACTGATTGATGGGGAAATCGTTGCTTTTAATCACACATGAAATCTATATGTTAATGCTCTGTGACTATGCATCCAACAGGGAACTTCAATAATTTAAATTTCCAGGTCATGGATTACGTTATGGTGAGGATATATAAGGCCGGCATATGTTTTTTGACAATGGGAGTTATTCACGTGTATTGTGAAATTTAAACTTTATTTTTCTCAATTCAGCTCTTCTTCGGTACAGCTCTCACCTGCAATTAAGGGGAGTATTTGGAAAACTATAAAAATGCTTTTAGAAATCATTTTTCTGTAAATTTTACAAACTCCTCTATATATTTACTTCGTATATCATAAAATCACTTTTAAGACTATGGTTTTATTTTTACCCAAACACCTCCTAAATTTTAACACCGTTGAGGAGGTCTTTACACTCACAGGAGATTGAGAAGTTTCCAAGATAATAGTTATTGAATTTTTAATATGGAAACAAACGTATAACATAAATATATCTGGCTAGTATATTTTTAAAAGGGAGAATCCACATAAAAAACTTGAAATCACCAAATCCTAAATTAGATTCAGTAACAGTACTTTAATAAGTTTTGATAATACTGGACTTATAAATAATAACACATTTTTATAAAAATTCTTTATTTTAAGATTTAGTAATTTGAGACTTTTTTTTAGTGAGATTCTCCCTTTTCATAAATATATAGGGCAAGACATGAATAGATTGAAATATGTTACTCTTGTTTATCTGTCCTGCTGCCTTAATTTAGTACTTACTTGACCTCCAACTGAAATTATTCACAATATTTTTAATACCTAGTTGATGCAGGAAAAATTATTAATCTATAGACTCAAATACCTAATTAACGGCAGCCGGTAATTACACCCTACATTATACATATAGATGTTATTAAATAATCCTGTAGTTTTGACAGTTATTTAATTATTATTATATCTGTAAGCTGTAATGCAAATACCTATCCAATACATTTAATAAGTCAAATCGATGTTTGTTTTGCCGCGAGTAAATATATTAAGTTGTTAAACACCTTTTTACTTGAAAGAGATGTCTCCCATGTAATTTATTCTGGTTAATGGTGGCATACATAGAAACCCTCCAAATGCCTTCAGTACCAAGCCACAACGACAGTTCGATATATAAAACTCAATCATTACTGTCAAAGTTAAATTACTTACACACAATCATTAAATATTTTGTTTATTATACAGCTTAGGAGGTTTAAACAACTCAAATAGCAGAACGTCATATCAATATGACTATTTAAAGTTTAGCTCTTTGAACAGGTTAGGTTTTACGCGTGGTGTGTGTGTTTTCATATACATAAGGATTAAGGAAATTATTTGCATAACAACGAAAATTCGGAAAAAATTATTGTCACTGACGCATTGTATTCATCAATAAAATAATTAAGAGACGGATTAAATTATTTTCCTTAATGTAATTAACCCCGTAAGCTAGCCGGCAGGTAATACGCAGAGGTCAATTGTGGGTCAGGTGTGTTCCGTTTCCCTGCTCACACGATACAAGACGGCGAAAGGTAATAAAATGTTTTCTTTTGATACAAACTTACAAAGGCAAGAAAGAACAATTAGAGTGAGAGCTTGAACACTCGACTTCCGGAAATAAAATGCTTTTAAATGGGGAAGATATTATTATTTTTGTTCGTAATATAAAATTTGGTTAAAAATTGTATTTGATTCTAAAAAATATAAAACTTCAATTTATTGTATTTTTCAAATTCATATCTCAGCAAGTGACAGTTCTAATACATTTAGGATTAAATATGATAGTTTAAGAAAGTCAATATATTTATTATAAGTAATCAACTTAACTAATTTTATGAATCTTTTTAAATTAGTTATATACTAGTAGCTCTTAATACTTATTTATTTAATTTAAGAGAGCAATCAGCCGAATGGAAAGGGAATCCAAGACAGTGCTAGGCTGCTAGCTCTGAGCATCAGAATATTCCATGAGAATCATGTAATACTATCACTTCTGCAGTCTTCATGATCAACGTCAAGCACCGTCACCCGCAAAAGCCCTCTCTGCTTTGCCTGCTCTTGTTTTAACTTGTAACTTTTACAAGACTAATATCACACTGGAGAAAATGACTCTGGAATTCAGAAAATGATTCGACTTTCTGCTCCTAATAAAGTATTGGGTCAACGTAAGAACCTTCTAATTAGTGATTGCGCAGCACAGCAAATTATTTATAAGCGAATGGATCAAACAGGGCACAAACGGACTAATATGATCACAAGTGTCACCTAAATAACATTCCAATCCGCACTGGGCAAAGCCAATAGTAGCTAAACTTCATATAAGCGAGACAAAACGCCCTTCTAGAAATCATCAAAAGAAGAAATTTATATTGCGTACATGCAAGTAATGTAGTTGAATAAAATATTACTACTAACTACGTGCATGAATATCAATCACATATCATGCCACAAAACTAAGCTCTTTTGATCAAAAACATTGTTTGACAAGCATGCTTTGTTTTTCAGAAAACTTTATAAATTAATAAGACTAGTCATGAATATAGTTTACTAAGTTATGTATCACAAGCCAAGTCAATCTAATAATTTGACAAATTCAGCATGAGTCTTTGTTTTTTGTTGTTGAGCCTCTAATTCAACATGGGTTGAAGAGATCAGGTCAATCTGCTCCCACGCGAAACTCACTAGACAGGGCACTCAGCACTTCTTCTTCTTGCCTTCGCTCGATCTGCCCTGCCATATAACTATTAATGAACGTAGCCAGAACACGTGCGTCCAAGCACAAAACAGCTTGAAAAAAGTTGTATCAATGGAGAGTCAAAATGCTGTTAAATTACTTGGCTTGAGTTTGTGGCTGTCTGACTGGATGCATCAAAAAGATTGTTTGGTTAGGGGAGGAACACTTCTTGCCACGATATGAACTCTAAATGGGGTAGGAAGACCTTCTAACCTTAAGCAGAGTCAATGCTCGCAGAAGCCTCGGAGGCTTCTGATGTTTCAGCTGTCTCGCCATCTATCATATATGCCAATCCCGTTTAGCATACTTTCAAACGAAGGAGTTACAAATACTATATAAATGATATAAAATGGTTGGAAAAAAAGAGTTACGGGCTTACCAAAAAGTGACTTGACGGATGGCCTCTTAGCTTTGGAGGTTTTCTTTTTCAATTCAGCTGCAAGAGCACAGAGAAAAATTAGCATGACTGTGACTATAAAACTGAACACCCTTTAGATTTAATACACGATATAATCTGCACATCCACATAAAAAATCAGGATTTTAATTTTCAACATGGCCCGCCAGTTTAGGTTCTACGCTACCCCGATGCCAGGACAAGCTACCTCATTGATGTGAACCAAAAATTTGATATATTGGTCGACAATCTATTTTGGACATCTGAAAAGGAAAGATTATATAAAGGAAATGCAAGATCGGTCTACACAGTGGCAATGTCTGAAAATTAAGCTATTGATTCATCTTTTGCAAACAAAATTTTCGGTACTTGGGACAAAAAGCCCTACTAAATAAGACATACCTATCAGACATGCATAATAATTAAAGCCATAGCCAAATTATGGCCACATAGAGAAGCTTATCAATAATAAACTAATGCACTATAAGAGAGGAAAAGAGATGTACCCATTCCGGGAACTTGATAGTCGTTGACAATTTCAAAGTTCTTATACGTGTATCCAACAAAATTTACGTCTTTAGATGAAAGCATCTGTAAAAAAAATGAGTAAAAAAAAGGGTTGGGCAGGGAAATAGCTGCAACAAACTGAAAACTTGAATGTAAAAATTTTTATCACATCGAACTATCGGAGGAGGATACAACCTAAGCTAAAATGATCATCATAGACATTGGCTTATTAAGACAACCAAAAACTGGAACTTAAAATACAATGTGTCTTCTTGAGCAGACAACTTTTCACTAAAGAGCATACGGGACATCCCTTTCTTCCAGAAGCAAGCAATGTTAACAACCGTAAGTCATGGAAGCAAATGCTCAACCTAGCATTAATTATTCCCATAATCAAACTAGCAAAAGCTCGCAAGCAACCCTGATAGGTGCTTTCTAAAACTTCAAGAAAATATGCGTTACAATCCAAAGTCTCAGCAATTACAATCTTAACCTTTGGACATAGTCCATATCATGAAAACGAAGAAGGGACTGCCTGTTATAACACTTAACAGGCGATTTTCAATACCAATGTTTGCCTTAAAGCGGATAGAACAAATGAAATTTTAAATTTGGGAATTCCAAACAAGCTTGCTATCCTGCGGCAGATTGGGTACTACCATTGTCCTGCCTTCGACAAATAGTCCCTTAAGTCTTATCTATCCAACTTTTCCATGTAAAGCACATCCTAAAATGCAAGTTAAAAAGAAAAATGCTTTCCAGAAAAGCAGAACTGCGCAAGAATTGACAGGCAAGTGATTCAAACAATGGTCTGCAATTGATTTTCCTTGTTCCTCCTTATCTTGCCAAAAGGGCCTACCAATAGAATAGAAACAATACATTGCTTTATGAACATATCAGCAAACAGAGAGTTTTATGCTGAGGCAAGATCTGAAGGTTGATAAAAAATTTGGAACAGCGAAGCAACCAACAGAAATTACCTTCCTCCATGGACCACTTCTAGAGGATGGTTGACTGCAGCTGTCGGACTGCAGATGTAAAAGGTACAATTTGTATAATGAATCACATTGATGGCTTCAGACTGTACCATACAAAATAAGTAAGAATATGAAGCAATAAAATACCTCATCAAACTTCTCAAAATTTTGAGTGTCTAAGTCATCGTTAACCTCAGGAATAAATGCAGCTTCCATTTGGTATAGCTTATCCCATTCAATACCTTTGAAAAATGGATGAGCCTGAAGAAGAGCAGAACAGGAAGTTAGCCTTTATATCAATCTATAAAACGGAACAAATCTAAGAATTTAGAATAGGACACACCATACAACACCTTTATTTCACCTGCACCTTTTGATCCCAGCCTCTGATTCACATTACACAATAGTTTACTGATCAAATCTTTAGCTTCAGGAGATAGCATTGCTTCTTCAGGAAATTTCAAGTGAGTTTTCCAGTTTACTATCTGTGTGAAACAGGTAGATCAGGTAAAATAGCATTCACTAAAGAATTTTAAAGAACTTATAGACTGTTCAAATAGGAAAGTCAAAATGCACACAAAACTCAGTAAAACATTATATAAGGCAGAAAAGTTGCTGATGCAAGGAGGGAAAGACTCAAATGAGATAACTAGATTTGACTTGTACTTTAAATCTCAATAACATTCCATATCTTCAAAGTCCCACCCAGTACAACCTTTAGCAAACAAGGCACAGTAGTCTAGCCCTGTGAGGACATAGGTTTCATTCCCTAGGATTTAAAGCATTAATCAGTTCATTAAATCAGTGGCTTAGACTCATCTTACACAATATGAATCATGTTAACTAGCCAATCCATGATAAAGCCAAACCCCAAGCAGTCTGTATAAGAAAATCAAGAACTCCATGAATAAATTATGCTGAAGGGAGACATACGATGCTGATAGACAGTTCATAAGCCAATATGACAAGAATAAATACTCCACCCATGTCTCTACTGACCATAAGTTGAAATGGTTCACAAATTGATTATATCTAATCCAGAAAGAAAAGTTGAATAAACTATAAGACAAGACATTCCAATAATTTGTTATCATTTAAAGCAAAGATATTAACCAGAACCTATCAAGAACAAACATCCTAGTGATCCAGTAGACATTAGGGCAAAAATTGAAGAAAACTACAAAAGACAGCAACAAATAGCAGATATTTATTACCTTTCTGCACGTTGTCATTGGATCATCAGAATAAAAAGGAGGATATCCTACTAACATTTCGTACATAATAGCTCCAAGAGACCACCTGTGAATTTTACAAGAACCAGATCTGTGTCAATTTTTTACCACTCTAAACTTAAAATATTTTTCCATTCAATCATCAAATGAATCAAATAAAGGAGAATGTGGTTGAGCCTGTTTTAGTGCTGGCCCTAGCAATTTAGTGATCTCGATCTCTTCTCCAACTTTCTCTTTACCTTTTTTCTCATCACCGGTTACAGAGGAGAAAGAGAAAAACTTGACAAAATGTGTCTGATAGGAACCCCCAACCAAATTAGCACGACACATATACCACACAAAGGAAGGCAAAACGCAAAATAGCTGAGTACAGATATTATGCTATGTAATAAAGCTTACAAAGACACCCACTGCAAGTCAGTCTCTCCCATTGAATCACATAACCAAGAGTACCCACCCAAGTACCTTACTGAGCAAACAAACACTAGGGGAACAACTACATACAACCTTCTAACTTTAAAAAAAGAAAAGAGGACTTTTCAGAGTTTGGCCCTCTTGACAGAAAAACTGACCAATATTTCCCTTACTCCCTTCTTAGGTTCTGTTTAGATCTCCCATCAAATACTGTTTTAAATGCTCCCTCCTACCCCTTCATCACTACTCCTTTCTTTTTCTCTTTTATTTTCCTCTCTTATCCAGTTCCTAATCCCTGAGCTTTTCTTTCTGCACATAATTTACCCTTTTCTGCCCTCTGTCACTCGCTTATACCTTGGCTGTACATATTAGCAGCAGCGGGTTAGACCTGATGGACATAATGGGCTGTAGAGTAAAGCTCACGCTGTAAGGGATAAGTCCTTCATCACTTAAAGTTGGAATAAAGGGAAGTCAGCACAAGAAGTCGAGGGTAATAACCTGGAAACTGTAGGACAAACTAGGGAGGATCAGTGGCCAATGCTGGCTTGTCAGGGGATTAAGAATCGGTATTGGGGGACATTTCAGGGTACAATTCGTTATTAAAACAAGTGGAGAGGCATCGTCTCTCGAAAACCAAAGTAGAGAGGCACCGTGTCACTTTTTTGCTCCTTTTACTGCTCCATAGCTGTTAAGCTCACAATTGGGCAAATCTTCCCTTAACACAGCACTATTTATTGTTTTTAACTGATACTTTAAAATAACCTTTACTCTCAAACCAAAATTACAAAATTTTGAAAAGATCAACCAGAATTGAACGAAAAGAATTTTAACAAATCAGATGCACAAATGACAAAACTCACCAATCACATTCCATACCATAGCCTTTCTTCAATAGAACTTCTGGAGCAATATAATCTGGCGTACCAACAGTAGAATAAGCCTGCAACACTTACACAGTTACAATGATAAGAGCACAATCAGAGTAAAAAATAATACATTTATCTAAAACAGATCGAGGTAGAAATGGATCTTCCTTTTGGTTTGATATGTGCATTATGGGTACTCAAATATTTGACAAGCCTGCCACAGCTAGTATTATAAGCATTTAATTTTCACGCTACATCACAGAGAGTTGACAGCACTTGTGACAATGGAAACTTACTAGTGTCCTCCTGTTCTTTTGCCAGTGTTGTAATTGTTCTTGTTGTGTGCGATTTGAAGATCCATGTTCCTCATTCTGTGTAGAACCATTCACATACTGACCTTCCGCCAAGTCCTCCTCTTGAAGTATGCTGCAATCTAATGGTTTACAAAGTCCAAAATCTGACAGCCTTAAGTGTCCATATCTATCCAATAACAAATTATCAGGCTTAATATCCCTGCAGCATAAGATACTGAAAAGATCAGTGTATAGTCTAAAATTTACTAAAGCTTCTTTATTGCAAACAGAAAAATATACATATAGATAAATCTGACTTCATGCATCAAACAGATAAAGCATGTGATCATTTTAAATTGATGTGAATGGCAAACATAAAAACACTCATAATTCTAACATAAGGTTACGTAAGCTTTTTGTTCATACCTATGGATATAATTGTGTTTATGTATAGACTCAATAGCCAAAACTGTTTCGCCTACGTAAAATCTAGTTTCATCCTCAGTCAAGATATCCTTTCTCATGAGTAAAGTCATCATGTCCCCACCCGGCAGATACTCCATTATCAGGTATAGGTAGTCATCATCTTGGAAAGAACAGTAAAGTTTGACTATGCAATTGCTATCAACCTCTGCAAGGAGGTTCCTTTCAGCTCTGACATGTTCTACCTGGAGATATTATCAGCTTCGGAATAAGTATTACAATCTCATCAGCCTTGGACATAAAAACTGTTCTTGACTGAAACAACATAACAGGGCAAGAAAACAATTGTAAACCTGGCCTCTGCGAAGCATCTCTGATTTCTTTAGTTTTTTCATTGCAAATACATGGCCTGTTGTCTTTTCCCTGCAAACTCTGACCTGCACAAATCTCCATGTTCAGGGAACAATCGGGTTATCAGCATAAAACAAAAGTTTTTACTCCAACAATCAAACAATGTGATCAGGGATGAAGAATAAGATGTCACATCCACAACACAATCATGTATTACATTGATTTCCGACCAAAACAAAACAAAAAAAAAAACAAAAGCTTCTTTTAACGTGCGCGCAAGCATGGACACAGAAATAAGGTAAATGTAATTAGGGAAGTCTTATTATTAACAATTGACGCCTTGGGCTCTTTTTCTGCTCGTATTTTTCCTATAAAAATACTCAAAAACCAGCTTAATTATTTTTGTGAATCTAATGAATCAAGAGTATGTAAGAATGTATATATTTCATAAGACATAAGTAGTAAATAAAAAATTAATTTGATTCTGTGCTTTAAGCAAATTGCTCATATCATACTCCGGCATATACATACCTCTCCAAATGCCCTTTTCCAATCATGGTCAACAATTCAAAATCATCAACACCCATCTTATGCCTCTGAAGCCGCATGTATTCAGTTTCCTTTTTCTCCAGAAACTTGAAAAGGTTGTTTTGGTCTTCCTCAGAGACATCAGCATCAGCCAACTTCTTTTCCAAGATAGTTCGACTGTTTAAAAAAGTTAACCACCTATTACCGCATAACTGATTTGTTTGTGCAACTAATATTATACACATTAAAAATCATAGAGGCATCTTCAGACCCACTAGATTCATCTACCAGGTTACCACTTACAAGAAAGAGAAGTATGTCCTTTTACATAGCTATTCTTCCAAAGGTCATACAAATCCTAATGTATGAAATAATAGCAATGACTTAAAGGCAAGAGTTACAGATATAAACAGATCTTAATGTAAGTTGAACATAATGATAAGCATTCTTGTTCTACATAATCATCCAATTTTAACCCAAGATGGCAGCTCAAGCTTGCGAGCCAAAAATAGTATGTTAGGTCAAATGAAAAGCATTCGTCTTCATAACCATCGCCAATTGAATTGGAAAATCTCAAATAAACCAGCATCTCAAATTGGAACTTCTTTTGGACTTTGACTTGGGTAATACGCATTACGTGATGTGATAAAGATCAAGTGCTGCGATTAGAAGAAAGTAGATTATAGAATAGAACTAAGTTGGAAAAAAAAAATATAAAACATGGAACAGATATTCTTAAAAACTAGCACTCCCAAGCTGCACCCAAAATTGACGGAGATTTACAACAGCTTTTCTAACTCATTGTTTCTCACAGCTCCCATCTTTACAATGGAGCTAAGTTTCAATAGTTTGAGTTCATTACACTGCAAACAGGTAACTCTATGTAAAAGAAAGTTAACAAATGAGTTCACACGGTCAGCTTCAGGTTAGAATGGGATGCATAATTGACTATATAGAACTCGCAACTGATCTACATACTCTGCTCGAACAACTAAAAATGGATAATATTAAGATTCTAATATTCCTATTTTCAGCAAAATTATGGGACCAACATAAGCAATAATATGCCATCTTAAAGTAAGAGATGGTTACAGCCAGACCTTGAACTCTTTTACAAGTTTTTTCCCTCCTGAGAATAGGTGGCCATGATCATTGAAGTTATTGGATCAACAAGTCGATATTTAGCTATGCTTTCAAAATTTGAAATTGAATGAAATATTAACACTAAGCTGTGAGCAAACAAAGGCGCATTGTGGTTACCGATTAACCATTTGGTGAATAATATGATAATAATAGTATACAAGTATAATTAACAGAAATAGCAACTTTCTTGATAAAAACGGTTGCTGTCAAATTATTATAGCATGACGATGATGCTCCTCGAAAGAAATGTGGAGCTCAATCTATCATATGATGCAAAAGGAATGAGGGGAAACAAAGAATTGCAAAGCCAGAAGATACCAGACTTTTTCCCAGTAAAACTTGGAGTTAAGTTGCATCAGTTAAAGTTTTCGTACAAAATCTTAATCTCAAACCGCCATTAGCATCCATGAAATGAATCATACCGCTCCTTTCTATCCTGAAGGCTCTTCATTTGCTCCTTATAATGATTCTCTATGTACTGCTTTGCCGCAGCAACCTTTTGTTTCGTTATATTAGAAAGAGCTTCTTCATCTAGTTGTGCATCTGAAACTTCGATTCCTCCTCCAGAACCCTCCTTCTTCTTCGAAGACGACCTCATTTTATCCCTTGGATGAAACTTCTGAAACCAACCTCTGGCAGAATCCATATTATTCGCCAAGCTCAACAGTTTCCTTGATGACTAACGATCATCCTATTTTGCTCTATATACAAGACAAGTTCCCTCTGAGAAACACTCGCTTCATAACCCAGAAAACCTAATTGCAAGAAACCTGCGTAAGAGTAAAAGTCACGCAAACAAATTTTACATTTACATCCAAAGCCCAAAAAAGAAAGTTTTGTTCGCTCTTCAAAACGCGCATGTAGCCCATGTCACAAAATTCAAGCCGAAAGTTTCAAGCATTTTCGAAGCAAATGTCGTTTGATTGATGCCGGAAAAAAGCAGGAGTCAAAATATGTGAACCCAGGACCATTCAGAATCCAATGGCAATCACAATGACAAGGAATTGCGTTTCAATGAAGCAAAAAAATTAATAAGGCTGAGAATTCGGATTACCGGCTAATTAGTAGTAGGCCAAAAGAGATAATGATCCCGCGAGACTCTTGAAAGAGAAACGAGAAAGTTGGCAGTTAATCCAGTAATTTCGGTGTCCGATGGCTTTGTCTTGGTTCCGGCTCTGAGAAAATTAGACGAAGAGTCCGCGCGACTCTCTCAAACTGGACGCGGCAAAGCCAACGGTCAGTACTCTTCCCGGTAGCCGTTATAAATAAAACACTCGAACAATTTATTTAAATACTTTAATGATATAGATTTAATTTTAAAAAATGACTTCTGGCCCAAAAAAATTAAAAATGAATGTTTTTAACTTTATTTACGTATTTAGCCCAATAGCCCTTGCCTTAAAAAATCTACTTTTTTTAAGGTTAAGCTCTTCAATCTGGCATCAGAATGCGGAGAATTCTATAAAATATATATATATTTGATGATAGTTAAGGATGTCTTATTACATTATAGAAATTTACATATAGGGAGTGTTTTGTAAGGGGTTAAATTTGAACTGCCAAAATTATATAGTTTGATCATTGTTCTCAACGGCAGAATATAAGTTTCGCAAAATCAGATAAAAAGACAACCACATGGCATCAAGATTCTGTTTTGGCCATGACACTGTATTAAGATTAGTGAGGTTTTTTTCCCCTTAACTTGATTTTTCCGATTGTGCTTTCAAAATTTCATCTCCAAGGCAGCATTTTTGAAGAATAAAGGCTCAGGAAGTGGATAAAATAGTAGGAAATAGCCATACATATATAGAAGGCGTAAAGTTTAAATTGCTTGCAAGTGAATAAAAGGAGGATTTACTGAAGATGCTGATAAAAAGAAGGAATCTTTGTCACGTGACCAGGCGACTATAACGTGGCAGCTACTTTTACTTGTACCGCCCACCAAACTATCAAAATAAAAAGGATCCGGAATCGCTTGATAGACAAACCAACACCTCAAAGATGTGAACAGATGAAAGGCAAAGCTTAGCTTATGGTTAGCGTCGTGCCCTCTCAATTGCATAAAGTGATGAGTATCTTTAGAATAGAATACATACAAGTATGGATTATTTGAGCACACTTGGGAGATTGTAGACCGGTAGCCTGCCTGAAACAGTTCGAGTATTGCCAAAAAAAATGTCACCAACATTTCTTTGGTTTTTTTGCCACGTGACCAACATTTCCAAGAGTTGGGAGGAAAGACACCACATTTGTCTCTCGTTTGTTTCTAGATATGAGTATCCTTTTATTAAAGTCAATCATATTTGAGACACTATTGAATACTAAATGTAGGTACATCTTTAAATAGAAATTTGAATTTTGATTCGCTATACTATAAGAAACTAATTTCTTTCAGGTTTCACTAAAATCTGTCTCTTGTTGAAAAAATAAAAGAATTCCTTATAGTTGTTCTCAAAAGTCCAAAAAAGGATGACTCCTTATTTATTCAGTTATTCTAGCTTTAAAACAAAATACTACCTCCAGTCTTTGATATAAAATTTTGTTTGATTTTTATTTTGGTTCTAAATATAAAACCCTAATCCAATTTGTCTCTCATATGTATACATCTTTTTCCAATGTAGTCCTTCTAACAATAGTAATTCTAACTAATATATTTGATTAGTAAGGATATTTTAGGAAAGATAATACTCCTCCGGTCCTAATTATAAGACCCAATTGACTTATTTGAGGAGATTAAGGAAGTAAGTTAAGTTGGTTATTTATAATAAATAAGTGTTGTCATTCCTAAAATATCCTTGCTAATTAAGTATATTGGCTAAAACTATCATTATTAGAAGGATTATCTTGGGAAAAAATGCATAAATATAAGAGACAAAATGGATTGGGGTCTTATAATTAGGACCAAATAAAAAGTCAAATGGGGTCTTATAATAAGGACCGGAGGAGTACCTATTTATTATAAACAACTAACTTAATATCTTTCCTTAATCTCCTCAAATTAGTTAATTAGCTCTTATAATTAAGACCGGAGGTAGTAATTGTATTTTTATGGTCATTCTTCTCTAGTTGTTACATGTTAGTAAATCCTGGATATTGCCAAAAAGTTGATTGTGGTGGAAATAAGAATATTCAGACATATATACGTGATCATCTGAGAAAACATAAAATTTAAATGACCATATGCGGGAATGGAAAGGGTTGGATAGTATTTATCAAAAAGAAAATACTTAAGAAACTGTTCAAAGTGGTATGGATATTGGATAGGTACAAAGAAAGACAATAGGGGTGCTAACTATAAGGATTTAGTATATGGTTTAGAATGTTGTGAACAGGGGCATATCCAAAGCAAGAAAAAAAAAGTCAAGCCATTAGCCTTTTAGTGAACGATATGTATGAAGAGTTAATAATTCCACTTAACAAGACAACAAAAATTATTTTTTTTTCATTTTCTATTTTTTTTAAGCTCTCAATTTCATTATTGGCACCTTGTACTCTATCGAAGGTTTAAAATTAAAATCATGGCATCTAAACAATCCAAATGTCTATATTTTTCGTCCCAGCACTATTTCATCTATCTAAATCTTGCAAAGGTTGGAAAAAAAGAGGCACATGCCCCATTATATTAGATTATTTAGTTGTGACTAATTTTATTTGCCATCTCCAACATCCCACACGGCACGCTTCAATAAGTCGTCTCAGAAGAGGCCAGGGTGGAAAACAGATCATCACTCTCAAGGAAATTTCGTGGCAAGGATCATCCCCCATGAATGTTCAAATGCTTTTATTTTTATTTTTATTTTGGCCAACCTTTAATTTTTAATTTTAAAAGTTCAGGGATTTAGCAGCACCAAAGTTTAGAGGAATTTGTTTGCATTTTCCTCACTTGCAAATGCAGGGAGATCATTAAAACACAGTAGAAGCCATCAAGATGAAAATACCATCAGCAAGAACACCCGTTCCTCGAGCAGAACGTCAGAAATACAGCTTAAAAAGAGCCACATTGGGATGAGAAGAGTATTTGTATGATATAAACATAATTCTCACCCAAAAAAAAAAAAAACAAGAAGAAGGAAATAGCATAAACATAATACAGGATATTTCTGTCCAATCATTTGGTAACTTCCGCTAAGTACACTTGAAACAGTCTCCCTCCGTTTCTTCATTAGTTCCATACTTCCATTGTTTCTTTTGTCAACGTAAATCCAAAGGAAAAAAATTCAAGAAAATAAAAGCCTCGCAGTCAAATTACTCATATTAACATGATCAGAAGGCTGCCCATCCTGACGCAGTGGTCGAACCTGAAGCGGCTTTTGTGGGAAGATTCTTCTGTAAATACAAACCAGAAACACGTTTAGTTAAAAATGCCAAAGGAAAAGCATTACCAAGTCCCGGGTTAACGGAAAAGGGCGCTCGCGCTTATCCAAATATGGAGGGTAAGTCAGGCTCAAGCACAAGGCATCGTTCACAGCATCACGAGTGAACATATTCAATTAATACTTGACAAACACTGTCCAATGAAAAACCAAGCTCTGAAGCAGAAAGAAAATAAGCTGAAACATTTGCTATACAGCCTGCTTTTTTTTTTTTTTTTTTTTGACCGGATGCTATACAGCCTGCTTACAATAACACAATAAGAAAATTTTTCAACGCATCAAAATACCCAGTTTGTTATAACTATTATTAAGGAGGTGTGCCTCTTCGCTAAAGAAAAAATGCTATTGCTCATGTCACCCGTCTTCTATCCTAGTGTGCATGGAAGCAATAGCAATGGATATCATATAGATGTTTGGTATCAGGTCACACAGAATGCAGGCCTTATTTCCGCAAACAAGTTTTCATTCAGCACAGCCCTATAGGTTAATATGGTGCTATACTGCTGTAAAGGAGAAGTTGGGGATATAAATATAATTGACGAAAAGAAGAGCGAAACATCATTCACAGCCTTAAATCTGGGACTGAAAAATACATGAGTTCATAGTCCTACATACTCATTACTCCAATGAAGAAAACAAATGAGCAAACATCGTTCAAAAAATCAACTTCTGTACCACTGAATTACTTTTTTGGCTCCACCTTAAAGGATATAGATAGAAAAAGATATTGAACCAAAATGCTTCAGCAAGTCACTTGATTATTCATACGGATTAGCAAGAATATTGCTTTTTTCAAATCACCATGACCATAAAACAGACTACTAAAGAATCTTGATTAAAAGCAAGGATTTAAAAACTACTAAAATATTCGAAATAAATGAAATTTTAATTTTAAATAAGAAGTAACCATGAATAGATGCTTTGTTTTAACCTTAGCTGTGGCATTAGAAATGGAAAAATAGAGCACGTAATCTTCCAATTTTAAATGGCATGACTGTTTAGGTCATACAGAACTATTACCTTTAATTGAGAGAGGTCTAAAGAAGTATCATTAGAATTTCTTCCACTTCCGTTCGTCTCCTTAAGACCAGTTATGCGACTGGTAGAAGTCAACCGAGCAGCTACAGGATCATTTGGTGGGGGAGGAAGAGGAGACCTGATTTTTCCTAACCCAGTAGGCGGGGGAGCAAGGCCCGAGGCTTTAGGTTTCGTACTTCCAGAAGGTCCACCTGTTAAACCTGCAGCAGAAAGCATGCCCGTTCCACTAGATGATGGTTTAGGCTTCACGTTAATCCGGATG